CCCCCCCCCCCCCCGCCCCCCTTTCAGATGAAGAAATGGAGACAAAGCAAAGAGTGGTTAAGTAACTTGCTCAGGGTCAGGCAGCTCTTAAGTGGTAAAGCTTGTATTCAAACCTGTGTAAGTTAATGGGGCAAGTTAGGAAACTGAGAATTTAAGTGTTTATATACTTAGAGGTGAAATTTATACTTTGAATTAATGTTGCCTGAGTCTTAAATTCTTTTACAGATTGCCATTTCAGCCATTCAGACAGAAACACTTTTAATAGAAAGGGCTTTTTGATGATATTTAAGACTTCATTTATCTTAGGTGGATGGTTGTATCTAAACTGGCAGCATCTGTTATATTTTTAATGCATTTAGATTTTTAATGGATGTTTCTCCTTTTTTAATCCTAATTTGTGGACTATGGTGTCATCTGTGTGAATTGTGTTCATAGGATTTTTAACTTTTCATTTTCTGTGTGTTAATAGGATAGTGTATAAATAAAAAAGGTTAATGATTGAGTAAGTTTGAAAGTATTTAGTTAAAAAGGTTTGTATGCTTCAGGACTTCTGAAAGTCTCTAATATACTGATGTACATTATATATATCATAATTTTCCCAGGACTATTTGACCTCTGTCTTTTTTTCTTAGATGTCTTACATGTGGCTATTTTTCCTTAGGATGTGCTTTAGAAGATATAATTTAGGATTGTTTTCTTGCTAGTGATTAATTTACTTGCAAAATGTTTTTCTACCAGGATTCAGAGGAGAAAAGAAAAATGGCCTGAAAGTCTTTTTTGCCTCATGTAATTTTGAATATTTTCAGTATAAAAAGTTTCCAGTATTTAAGCGGGGTTGTTTTGTAACTTTGCAAGTTAGTTGTTTAGATCACAGAAAGCTTTTCCATAGAGACAGTTTTACATATTATTTGAGATTGTCGGTCCAGCGTACAAAAACATAGTTCATTTACTGTGTATATAACATGATTGACTGGATGAATTATGGATTAAGTAGACCTTTGTGGACTAATCTGGGAACCAAATAACAAGGACTGGCAAGTTTCCTAGAAAAAAATCAGCAATGTGTTCAGAACTCTTCTGTCTTTCACGATACGTTCAGTAGAAAAAGAAAATCCTCTATTTTCCCTACTGCAGGGAAAGCAAGTCTTTTGCCACAATGATTGTTTACAGAGAAGTGGTTGTTAATTATTAAATCAGGGATTTTGTGTGTGTGATTTAGTTTTCATAAAAATACTTTAAGTTGACTTGTATAAACATCCATAAACCAGAATGTTTCAACAAAGATTTCCAAATAAAATTGTAGTAAGCTTCCATCCTCATTGAGGTATAGGTACATAAAAATTAAGTCACTTGTTTTTATGTTCAATAGAGACAATATGGTTTAGATAATTCTGGAGGATACAAACAACAGCAACTACGGAATATGGAGATAGAAGTAAATAGGGGAAGAATGCATCCATCTGAATTTCACAGAAGAAAAGCTGAGATGATGGAATCACTAGCTATTGGTATTGATGATGGAAAAACAAAAACTTCTGGTCAGTACTTAAGCATCAAAATCATAGTTTTAATATTGCATACACCACTGAAGTAATAATCAGAATCATTTGAATTTTGCTTAATTTTCATAATTCATGGTTTGTATGGTTTTAGGTGAGACTGTGTTCAAATTTTTTTAAATGTGTTTTGAAACATCTGAATTTTTTTACAGCAAATAATTCACTTAAAAATAATTTACTTTTATATTGTGTTAATTTACTTGACATTTGAGAATGAACCTTTAAAAAAAGTTTTTATTGCTTACCACACTTAAGTGCTTACCATGTTCTAGGCTAGTGCTGTCTAAAGCAATATGATGTGCGCCACATATATGAACTTAAATTTCTCAGAGCCACATTTAAAAAAGTACAAAGGAACAGGTGAATTTTTTTTTTTTTTTTAAATAGGCTTGTGTTAGATGGTTTTGACCAATGATAAGCTAGTGTAAGTGTTCTGAGCATGTTTAAGGTAGGCTAGGCTAAGCTATGATTGTTAGAGTAGGTGTGTTAAATGCATTTTTGACTTAATAGTATTTTCTTTTTCCTTTTTTTTTTAATTGAAACATTGATTATACATATTTGTAGGGTACAGAGTTGAATTTAAATTTCAGTACATGTATACAAAGGTTTGATGGTCAAATCAGGGCAATTAGCATATTCATCATTGCGAAACTTATTTACTTCTTTGTGATGAGAACATTCAGTGTCCTCTCTTCTAGCCATTTGATCAAATGCAGTAAGTTATTTTTAATTATAGATGCCTAGCTCAACTGTACACTAACAGAATTTATTTTTCATGTGTAGCTGTTTTGTGTCCATTAAGCAACACTTCTCCCCTCCCTCTTCCCTTTTCCCTTCAGTAACCACAGTTCTGCTCTTTCCTTCTGAAAGTTCAACTTATTATTACTATTATTGTTTGCTTATTTATTTATTTTGGCTCCCACTTATGAGTGAGAACATGCAATATTTCTCTTTTCTGAGCCTGGGCTATAAATATATTATGTCCTTTTTATAAGCTGCCTTGAAATTTAGAAGTGATTTAGTGGCAAACACTTTTATTTTTTGTTAATTGTGCAAATGTTAGTTGAAGCAACTGTCATTTAAAGAGTTTCCATTTATACACTGCAACCTTGTTATAATTTAAATAATAGAATATAATTTAACAAAAGATAGATTCACCTTGGAAAATTCCTAAAGAGATTTAGGTGCTAAGGAACAAAAGGTATTTTATTGTAGGGAAATTTTCCCTTAAAGATGTTATATAATGTGATTGATAAGACAGTGTTACCCAGACACACCTGTCTTATAAGTAATAAGTATTCCAAACTATACAAGAATGTATATTACTTTCTTTTTCATTTTTCTGGGGGGTTCCCACCCCTATTCTTAAAGGGCTGTTTCAAATCTTGATCTCTTCATCAAAGCTGATGATAGGAAAGTCCACATTTCTCTTAACCTCTGAATTTCTAGCATACCCATTCCATGCCACAGTATTTAGTACTCAGTTATATGCCATTTTGATTGTTCCTCTTTGATGTAAGTCGTATCTTTCAAGTTCTTTGGAAATGGTTATAATGACCTATATTTCTATATTTCATGGTGCTAGGCCAGCTACAACTATTGGTTCATTTGATTGTTTTGATTTATTAACCTTTTATCTACCTTCTTAAGACAAAAAACCATTTTCCTATAGGATACCCTTCATTCAATAAAAACCATTTAGTGATTATCATTTTGGTGCCACATGTTATGAGAAAGTATGAGCTATACAGATAAAACATCCCTGATTATAAGCTTCACAAAGTCTGTACAGTAAGTAAAGTATACACAAAGAACTGTGGTAGTCTGCTCTGGCAGAATGTGACTAGTACTCAGGCGGCACAAGAAATAAATGCAATGAGTGTTCAGAAAAAGAAAGTCACAAAAATGGTCAGAATCAGAAGAAGGGTCTATGAAAACTATAGTATTTGATCCTTAAAGGATCTGTAGGATTTTGAAACATGAGGAGAGTGTACTAAGAGGAGGAAAGGGACAGAGTCAGATGTCCCTTGTCCTTACACCTTGTTTATCTATATTATAGTGCTTGTTTATAGACTGGGTCGATATGATTTCAAGGGATATTGTCATATTCATCTTTTTATCCTTAGTATAGTGCTAGGTATATAACAAGTGCTTAGCAAATACTGAAATTGAATTAAAACTCTATGGGCAAAATTGTGTTTAATGTGTTAAGTTAGGTCACAGCCAAAATTATGACAAGAAGAACAGTATGAAATAAAGGTGAATTTGAGGATAACTTGCTGTGGACTTCATATACCATAGGTTAAAACTGTTCTATGGGTGATAGGGAGCTCCTGATGTTTTTTGACTGGGAGGAAATTAATTAGGACTGAGTGATCTTCAGCAGTGTATATAATAAAATGGAGAGACAAGAAGAACACTGATTCAACTATCGTACTTTTATGTGCAGGGCCTGAAGATACAGAGACAAAAGATGCAACAGTTTCAACTGAGTGTAATAAGTAATATGCCAGTGTTAGGAAACTTGGATTGTAGTAACAAGCAAGGACACGAACTAAGGTTAAAAGGGTAAGAAGGTAAAGAAGATGGAATTGACAGGATTTATACTGAGCTTAAGGGGTTGACATTAGAAATGTATGAGATAACCATTTAAAGGTGATAATAAATCCTTCTAAATCTCCTAAATCTCTTTTCTACTTTAGGAATTATTGAAGCACTTCATAGGTATTATCAGAATGCTGCCATGGATGTGCGCCGTGTGTGGCTTTCTACAGTGGTGGATCACTTTCATTCATCTTTAGGCGACAAAGGTTGGGGTTGTGGTTACAGAAATTTCCAAATGCTACTTTCATCATTATTACAAAATGATGCTTATGATGATTGCTTGAAAGGTATGTGAAATACAGTACTCTAAACTTGTCTCCTAATGAAATATATATGATATGAAATGAATTAATTTATAGCAGGCAAAATTAATAGGTTTAACAGAAGTATTTTTTGTATATTTACATAAGAAATCTGAATTCTGGTCGAAGGAAGAGAAAATGATATAATAGACGATGTCAAGAATAACTGTCTTAAAAACTGTTTGAGGTTTCTTTATATATGATATACTGTTAAATGTTCAGTACTTTAGTAACTGTCATATAACACGATTGCTTATATAATTTTAGGTATGTCAGTTCCTTGCATTCCAAAAATTCAATCTATGATTGAAGATGCATGGAAGGAAGGTTTTGATCCTCAGGGGGCTTCTCAACTTAATAATAGATTACAGGGAACAAAGGCCTGGATTGGAGCATGTGAAGTATATACACTCCTGACCTCCCTAAGGGTAAAGTATGTACCTAAAACCCAAGTTAATGTTATCTAGGAGCTTTTTTTGTTTTTTTAATTTTTATTTTATCAAAGCGATAGTTAAAAAATAAAATTAAGTAGCACTGAAAGTCTTATAATGAAAACCAACAACTTATTCGCTATCTCATGCACTTGTCTACTCTCAAGTCCTGTTTCTCAGAGGCAACTGTCACTTGCATTGTTTTTTAATAAGATGCTTTCATAGTTATTTCTTGGTTTATCAGTTTTTAGACATTGTCTATTGTATTTTTTTATACCTTCCTCCTGCTTACCCTCATTCCTTCTAATGTGATTAAATCTCAGTTTTTATTAAAATATGAGTTGACATCATTACAATTGTGTAAATATTGTTTCCCTTCATAGGGAAGTAATGGCTAGATAAAATTAACTCTAAGAATTTTTTGTATTTGATAACTCCATTGATGAACATATTTTTAAAATATTATCTTAATAGTTTGTCAATTTTTTATAGGTGCCATATTGTTGATTTTCACAAGTCAACTGGTCCTTTGGGTACACACCCTCACTTATTTGAATGGATATTGAACTATTACTCCTCAGAGAGGGAAGGGAGTCCAAAGGTAGTGTGTACATCTAAACCTCCTCTCTACCTTCAGCATCAAGGTTAGTATAACTCATAGATAACAGTGTCATTTATAAGACAACAAAACTGTCTGTTGCTTTAGGACAGGTTAAGATTCTGATAATGGGAAGAAGGGAGTGCTATTGTGACATTAGGTGTGTGATTTTCAGAGCTACTCTGTCATTACAGGACGTTCTTGGGTAGTGAAGGATGATATCCTTGGCATCTTCAGGGCCTTCTGCACTTGCTGTTTTCTTTGTCTAGTTCACTGTCCCTTAATTGTCATCCCTTACCTTCTTTCAGATCTTTATTTAAATGAGGCCTTCTCTGGCCTCACCTTATTTAAAAGTGCAACTTGTTATCCCAGTCTCCCACCCTGCCATTTCCTTCCCTTATCTACCTTATTTATAGAGTATCTCTTCCCAGTAGAATATAAGCTGCATGAAGGCAGGCACATTTGTCCTGTTTGCTGCTGTATACCTTACCGCCTGGAATAGTGCCTGGCACGTAGATACTTGATAAATTTGTTGAGTGGATGATTTGGATTGATAGGAATAAAGAGAAATAAATGTTAGGAATTTCATTATTTAGGAATACAGACTATAAAAGATTAAGCCCTCCTCCATTGATATTCTAGAAGATATAATTTTACTTTTGTTTACCTTTTGGAACCATGAGAGTTTTTGTTCTAGGATATGTAAATTTCAAATTTTTTCATTTGAGATAATTTCAAAAAGAGGGATCAAGGGATTAGAAAAGGAAAAGTAAAATATATGGCAGAGTAGAACAGAATTTTTTTTAAAAAGCCTTTAGAAAACTAAAATTCAACAAAAGAAAACTGAAGGTTAGGAAGTAGAACTAAACTCTTGTGTTTTAGAGAGCTCAGATACATAACGAGGGGTCTTTTAAAAGTTCATGGAAAGATTCGTAGTATATTTTAATTCCATTTTCCACGAACATTTTGAAGTACCCTCATACATATTGGAAAGACTGACTATCTTTTAAACACACACTATAGAGAGAGAGAACATATATAGTAATATCTGTGTATATGTATAGTTATAGATATGACATATATATACCTGTTATTTGATCTTTTGATAGGTCATAGTCGAACAGTTGTTGGAATTGAAGAGAGAAAAAACCGAACACTGTGTTTACTAATATTTGATCCTGGATGTCCTTCTCGAGAAATGCAGAAACTGTTAAAGCAAGACATAGAGGCTAGCAGTCTTAAGCAACTTCGGAAATCTGTGGGAAATTTAAAACATAAGCAATACCAGGTAGTGGCAGTAGAGGGTACTCTTTCTCCAGAAGAGAAAGTTGTAAGTATCTAAATATTATGTGACACCTGAATGGGTTGAACTTAAAGTTGAAAATTCTTAGTTAAAATCATTGTTACCCCTTTGTATTTCCTAACACATCATTCTATTTCATTAGGATGGCAAAGACATTTTCTGATGTCATTTAATTTCTAGAATGGGCATCTTTAAATTTGAAATGGAATGTAAAGACTTGTAATTACTTTACTCAGAGCTTCATAAAAATGTTTAATATTATAATATTTAATATAATTTTTAATGTAAGATGAGTTACAAATAATGACCTAATTTGATCTAGAGACCTAACTTATATTGGTCTTATAAGTGTTGTTTATTAAAATGTGATTCTTATGATTCCTGAAGCTCTGTTTTATGCACCTGAGCTTATTGGGTATACACAGTTCTAGAATTTCACTTCATTAGAGTTGCCTCTTATCTTTATCCTTTGTGGTTAAATGATGAGTGATATATTACAGAAAAATTTTTAGGAATTGAAAAACCTCCACTTGGTATTGCCTGAAGCTATGTGATAGCACATCATCTAGAAAATGCACAGGCCCCAGAATCTTAAAGAAATGATTTCCCCTATTTGAGTACTTCATACTATTTTATTTCTCTCTAAAGAGAAAAGAGACAGAGGCCTAGCAAAGAAGAATTATGGAGAATAACAGGATCATGGAGGAAAAGACTAAAATTGTTTGAAATGAGAGAGAGCCAGGCTGATCTTTTCATCCTCTTGACTTGGGATATAAAGACAAGGATTGTTTAAGAGCTTCTTCAGTTTAATTATGATACATTAAAAGATTTTATTGCAATGACTTAAATACCAAAATTGCACTCATTTTTTTTCACCCCATTATTAATTTGGCCAGATAAAGTTAGGGCTTCATTTTAATTATTTTAAAATACCAAGATGCACACTCACCAAAATGCAGATAACATTTGAGAACATAACGAAAACTTCTAAAGGAAAATTACAACCTCAAACTTATGAAATTAGGAATAAAAATTTTTAAAGCCAAGCCATAAAGAAATTAAAGAAGATTCTTTCTACTTCATTCCATTTTATCTTTGTCTGTTATCTTCTTTGATGTTCATTATTATCTTGAAAAAAATTCTAGGCTTTATTTTTTATACTAGCATGATAACTAATACATTCTAATTAATTGGCTTCTACTTTACAACTAATAGTTTTTTTAAATTCCTTTTCAAGGCCAGGAGACAAGCTTCTGAAGTCTTTACAGCTGAGAAGATTCCTTGAAGAATTAAGCACTTCAGTGATTATGGAATTACACTGTTTTTCAAATTCAGATACTGAACTCCTTAATACAACTTATGAATCTATGAATTCTCTAAGAACTCAACATATAATTTAATTTCTAAAATGCCTGTATTAATTAAATTATACCTGTAGTACTTAATTGTTTAGTAATTATTTCAATAAAATATCTTGTTTGCATTGTAGGTTTTTTTCTTATCCATGTTTCAGAAACCAGTTTTGTATTATGGCCAGAAGATAATAATATGCATTTGTTCTTTACTTGCATTAGGTACTCAGTTATTTTACATGTATTGGTCATGGAAAAATTCCAGACTTCCTATAGCCCGTGCTGCCTAGAACCCTTCCCTCACAGCACTCTACCCGGTGGCTTTTAGAACTGCTTCCTGACCTACTCAAGTCTGGATTAAATGCACCTTCTAAGTGCTTAACGGCAATGTTACTCAAAGTAGTGATCTGCAAATTGCCAGTCTGTGACAAAATAAGTACAGAAAAATTAAGAATTCCTGTGACATTTTATTTTACAAAAATAAGAGCAGTGAATTGGAACTATTATTTTTTTAATTGGTCCTTTGCCATAGAATTTGAGAAGCGTTGTTCTATGGTACCCTGTAATACACGTATCACAAAACTTGCTAAATTGTAATCTGTTCTAATTTTTTATTTAACTTTCTATATTACCCCCTTCAATGAAAGGCTCTATTATTTCAGGAGCAGTGCCTAGTTTTTATTCGTAGCCTCAGGTTTCTGGTACATATAAGACTTAAAAATAATTTTTTAGTCAATGAAAATAATGTTTTAGAAAAGCAGTGGTAGAAAATTTAAGTCTTAAGTTTCTTGATATCCCAGCTAACCATCTCTGTGCAAATCATTTTTCCCCAATCAGTTCAAATCAATTTCTGTAGGAGGGAGAAGACATCAGATTGAGAAAGTTTTGAGAAGTAGCAAAAGGGTTAAAAATTTGAATGTTTCTATAGTCTTTGAGCAGGTGATGGAATTATGAACATACTTTCTGATGGAAAAATATGAATATATACACATATACAGTATTTGTACACAATGTCACAGGCCCAAAAGTAGGCAGTTACAAAGGCTTAAGAATACATGCTCTACTTCAGTGATTATCAGTATTTTTGTTGTTGTAATCCTTGACACTTAAAAAATATTGAAGTTTCCAAGAAGCTTTTGTGGGTTATGTCTTTCAGTTGTTTATCATATTAGAAATTAAACCTAAGGGGCCGGCCCGGTGGCGCACTCGGTAGAGTGTGGCGCTTGGGAGCGCAGTGGCGCTCCCGCCGAGGGTTCGGATCCCATATAGAGACCGGTCCGCTCACTGGTTGAGCACACTGCGGGCGCGACACTGAGGGTTGCGATCCCATTGCCGGTCGCAGTACGGGCACGACACTGAGGGTTGCGATCCCGTTACCAGTCACGAAAAAAGACAAAAAGGAAAAAAAGAAATTAAACCTAAGATCTTTTAAAGACAAGAATACACAAGCACATATCCATTATTCTTAGCCATCAGGACACTGATGTGATTGCATGTCATTTAGCCTCCAGAAAATCCATTGAGCATCTTTCTATAAACATTAATAGTTCTACATATGAAATTCCATATTTGATATTTTCAAAGAATGGCATTTTGCACATGAATAATTTCATATTTGTATATGAGGGTACTTTTAAAAGTTCATGGGATGTTTGTATTTTAACTTTTTCCATGAACTTTTTGAAGTACCCAAGTGTGTGTGTGTGTGTACACATAGCTATATATGAAATCAGTCTGACATAAGGGATGCGTATGTATCAGTGCCACATAAGATCAGGCTAATTGTATTCTTAGTCATAATCATCTTCCTCATCCTCATCTTCAGTTTCTTCATTATCTTCAGATGCAAGTACAGCTGCTGCTTGTGCAGCCCTGAAAGCCTGCTCCTCTTCCACACTAGGGTCGTTCATTTCTGTAATTTCTGGTCCACTGGGGTATTCTTGATAAACTGGTGGTGGAACTGGGGGTGTATAGTTGTCTACACTATACTTATGACCCCAGCCTATGTAGAGATTTTCAAACTTTCTATAAGTAAAAAAAACAAGATCATTACTTAATTTTTTCAGTAAGATAAATTGACCATTCTGTAATAATAAAGTGCATAGAGTATCATGTTCCCATAATTTTTAAAAACAATATTTAAAATGGTACAGGTAGAATATCCCTCAATGATTCTTCTACCACAGGGAATTATTTTGTCCCAAATCGCTCAAGCTGGTTAAAACCATGGGGCCAGATCCTGTCAAAATGTACCCTATACCTAGACCACAAAAAAAAGACTTTGGTCATTCAATTATTTTCGGGGGGAAAAAAAGGTACCACCTTTCACAAACAGATTTAAAAAGTTGCTAACCCAGCAAACGACCAGGTGAGGAGTTGGGTTTGTTATTTTCTTCAAGCCTGATCATGGGTAATCACAAAGGCTTTACCTGGCAGGCCTCACCAGGGAAAATTGCCCCCCCTCCACACCAGACTTTGTGCATAACCAATGTATTGCTGTCTGTAAGGGGAGTTGTGATCAAGGACACTGGCCCTCTGGTTTCTCATACTCTGCATATTTGTATTCCCAGCCCATGTGCTTTCATCCCAGGTCTATCTGAGGCCTTCAGGAGAGGCCTTCTGGCACCTCCCTTCCCCCTTATGACTGTATTCAGTATTTTTCTTCCTTCTAGCCCTCCCATCCTCCCCCTGGTCCATAGAACTGCAGGAGCCTTTTGTTCAGGGCCTCTCTTATCAGTGAGATGACCCCACAACCCCACATCTATGACACCCACATTTGTGCTGATCCACCGGACCTTGCACTGGTGAGCCATTCCATGGGGGGAAATGGAACAGTGAAAGTCAAAGTTTTCTCTTGCTTATACTATCATTGTAAATAATTAAAGGCTGAACTCTGATTTTTGGCTTGTTACTTTAACAGTTACCCTGACCCCTCACAGCTCAGCTCTTGTTTCAGCTCAACTGAGTTTCTGACACTGGGTTATTAGGAAAGAAATAGAAGCAAAGACAAATGGAAGTGTGTGTTCTATGTGAGGAATAAAGGATTTTTAGTATTCTCTTGACGCTAATTCTCTTGAAAGTGATAGCCTAAGTAAAGCATGGTTTTAGCTATCTTTTATCAAGATGTCCAAAAAAATGATCTGAGACAAACTAATTTAAACGCTACTTAGAATTACCTCCATTAATCTACTAAGTGAATGAATAAGTCAATTACCCAAATAAACATAGCAAAAAACCATATTTAATCTTAATTAATAGAATAATTAAAAGGGCAGAAGTGTGAATTACTCTAATGTCCTGAATTTCATACTTTACTGTATAATACAGATGAGATTTTATGCCACACAAACCTAAAATAGCAAAGATGAGTTAAAATAATAGTAGCTTAACATTCCAGTGATAATTTATAATTTCTGGAGCTTAGAAAATCACAGTAATGGCTTTGTAAGTGATGAGATACTTACTTGCCATTGGAAAAGGCATATGCTCCTGGCCAAAGGTTGGATCGAAGGACTGCAATAGCATGCTGAGGAATGAGATTGGAGGAGAGCCGTGCTGTCCAAGGAGGTATATTCTGAATCTCTAGAACCCAAAAAGAAATTCAAATTCATAACATCTTAAACACACACATTTGATATAGAAAGAAAGGTGAAAGCATTAGCAGCTTAACGTAAAATCAGGAGGGCATTTTATCAACATTTGGAACAATGAAATTTGAAATATATATCTTCATTTTTGCAACACAGACAAGAAGTTATATTAAGGCTTATGTGGTAGAGGAAGCAATATTTGATGACTAATGAAAGGTCAAATTGTTATGAGAGAGATCAAGGGTTATGAACACAAATACTCCAAGGCTGAGTAGGAAGAAACAAGAATATAGCAACAAGAGTACACTTAACAACAAAACAAAAACAAAAACAAAAAACAGTACCACACAACATAACTGTCAGCATTTCCAGTAAGAGCTGTAGCCAACTTATGTTTCATCCCCGTGTCATTCCTTCCGCCTCTGTCAGGGAACATTGGTATGGCCAGCTGCATTCTCTACTCCCTCCTATCCCACAACACAGGAAGGGGCAAAGGGTTGGAACTTTGGCTCTAGCCCACTTTTTAGAGGTTTCCAACTCTTATATATTTGCCATACAATGCACATAGTATATTATCCAGTTTATGTGTCTGTGTGTGATATAGTTATATAAAATTACCTAAATCTTCAGAGATTGGTGTCAAAAGAGGCGGCCCCACTTCCTGTTCTATGTAGTCAGGCCCTTCTCCTTTTTCTTCCTCTTTTTCTTCATCTTCTTCCTCTTCTTCTTCCTCATTTTTTTGTATGGGGTTGAACCAATTACAGCGACCCTGAGAAGGAATGTTGCAAGATTTAGTAGTCTAATGAGGACCTTAAAATCTCAGAATATTTATTTGGATTGAACCAACTATCAAGATGAAGTTTCACTGTGTAGGAATTTGGTCAATTATTCATTCACTCATTCAACATATATTTACCAAGTGCAATTTCAATCTAGGCCATTAAAAGCAAAAACGGTACTACTTATTTCAACAATTTGCCAACTTTTTGAAGTTACAAACCTTGAAGGTTCAGTTATATTTTTAAATTAGCAGAACCTTAGTAAAAATGGTAATAATGCATTTTTCTGGTGTGTGATAAATAATTTACATGAAAGGTAAAGCTATGATGATGATGATGATCAACAACAAAATTTAAAAAGTGGTAATTTAATGTTAGGTATCAAAATGTGGGGTGTATAAGTTCTCATTAATTAATTTTCACATAGAGATACCTACCAGTATCTCTTGTCTAGATTAAAGTGTGCTCAAGATTTTCTACCTGCAGTATAGCAGGTACAGCAGAGTGAGGCCGTATTGCAGAGCAGTTAAGAGGATGGGCTCTGGGTCCATTCTGCATAGCCTCACATCTGACTGTCACTTATTAGCAATATTCCCTTTGTCACGTTTCCTAAACTCTCTGCCTCTACTTTCTCATCTGTAAAATAATAATAATAATATTCTTTCATAGAGTTGTTGTGAGGAATATATGTATACACACACACACACACACACACACACACACACACACACACACGCAGTGCTATTAACAGCACCTGGCACAATAGA